ACTATTTGAGAAACACTGGATTGGAATATCCCTGATAAGTGGTTCGAGTGCAACCACAAACTCCATTCCATTCCATTTGCACAGCTGTTTGTCCCCTCTTAATTACCAGGGGTGTTAAATACCCAAGGTGTGTTCCCATGTAGAATTACTAATTCATTCGTATTTGCTGTCGTCTTCTTCCTCTTTGGCCCGGCCTCTCAGATTACTCACATCCTTAACGTGGCCTTCAGGGTGGAGAACGTTTTCCCGGACCTTTTCGTTTATAAGACGGTCAGTATTCTGGACCAACCGGATGTCGATCTGCCGCCTCACTTGCAAGACTGCTGTGACTTCATCCAGAAAGCTCATGCTGAGGTAACTGACACGAACTGACATCTTCACCTCCCGCTCCTCTTCTCCAATGCTCTCCTCCTCTTTTCCTTTCCTCTTTTTTCCCTTATCTCCGTCCATACCAACGTGCTTTACCTTTAGCTCCTCACCTCTCTCACGTCCTCCCATTCCTCTCCATTTCTTTCTCCCCCTTGTTCTCCTCTTATCTCCTCCTACGCTTCTTGCTTTTACTCCTGTTGATAGATAGACAGACAGACAGACAGACAGATAGACAGACAGACAGATAGAAAGACAGACAGATGGACAAATGGACAGATAGATAGACAGACAGACAGACAGACAGACAGGCAGACAGATAGACAGACAGACAGATAGATAGATAGATAGACAGACAGACAGACAGACAGACAGATAGATAGATAGATAGACAGACAGATAGACAGACAGACAGATAGATAGACAGACAGATGGACAAATGGACAGATAGATAGATAGATAGATAGACAGACAGACAGAGACAGACAGACAGACAGACAGACAGACAGGCAGACAGATAGACAGACAGACAGATAGATAGACGGACAGATGGACAAATGGACAGATAGATAGACAGACAGACAGACAGACAGATAGATAGATAGACAGACAGACAGACAGACAGATAGACAGATAGATGGGGTGGACAGACTGGTGGATGGATGGATGGATGGATAAATAAATGATGGATGGATGGATAGACAGATTGCTACTAAATTCCCTTTGTTGTTTTATTTTTTTGCTTACTTTATTCCATTTCTTCTTGTCCTTACCCTTTCTTTTCATTCTCCCTTCCTTTTCCACTTTCTCCCTCCGACTCAAGATTCCTCACTCAGCCTTCTCCGTTTGCCTCGCTCTCACCTATTTCTCTCACCAATCATCTCTCCTCATCTCTTTTCTCCGCTTGCCCCGTTTCCCTTTCATTTGCTCCCCCCCTCCTATCCTCTTTCCTCACCAACTGTCCTCCTGTCGTCTCATCCCCGCGTCCTCGCTACTTCTTTCGTCTCGTCTCGTCTCGTCTCCTCCACCCGTCTCCTCTTCTTCCCTACCTTCATCTATGCTCTTCTTCCTCCTCTCCCCCCTCGGGTCCTCTCCCCCCTCTTTTGTCCTCTTCTTTGCTCTCCCCTCTCTTATTCTCTCTTGTGTTTTCAATGATTCATGTGTAGTTTTGTTCATGTTTTATTAAACTGAGCTCAGATCAGATCTCAGTGTCATACAAGCTGTTACCAGCAGCAGCAGCAGCAGCAGCAGAGCCCGCTGCTCACCTCAACATGACACCGACACACACACACACACACATCAGTCTACAGTTACAGGAATGTGTGTGTGTCTTCAATCAAATATGCAATTTTTGCCAATTAAAAAAAAATAGGGACCAAACTTTGTTACTGTTCGTGATATAATAACATTTCTTTGCAGCTTCGATTCAGTTTTACTCGCTGAAGTAAAAATATTAAATATATAAGTTACTGTTACTGTAGACTCGAGCTGACAGGTGTGCACGTTAAATTCCTGACTCATTTTACTTTAGTTTTTTATGCCTTATTTGAACGTTATTAATCCCTTGGGGAGTTTCTTTGGGAAATGTATAGGCTCCAATAGCAGTGGATGGATGTTATAGATTGTTAATGTTATCCTGTGCGTTGTTAATATAAGATTTCTATGCATTTCACTACCATATACCACATTATGTTACATTATTATTACAATATATACATATATGAATATGTGTATATATATATGTATATATATGTATGTGTGTAAATACATATATACAGTACATATAGGTTTATATATATGCATATATATATACCCATAATTATATTAAGTATAAATATATGAACTGTTAGATAGCTATAGATATATCCATATCTCAGTTTTAGCAGTATATAATGGCATATAACTATATAATAGTGTATTACGGTGTATTATAGCCAAATGTTATACTGCGATGTTACAATATATAATATTAGATAGATAAATAGACAAATATGTAAAGTAGATACTGTAGATAGGTATATGCATTAGATAGATTTATGTATATATATATATTAACAGGCATAGTATGAGTAGTGTGCGTATAGATGTACATGTATGTATACATATATACCTAAACAAAAAAACCTAAACACATATACTGTATATCCACACATGTATGCACACATGTATGTAAGTATACTGTATACGATTTCTATGCATATCACTACCGTATACCACATTATGTTACATCATTATTACAATATATACATATATGTATGTAAATATGTATAAATACATATATACACTACATATATGTTTATATATATATATATATATGCATATATATACCCATAATTATATTAAGTATAAATATGTAAACTGTTAGCTATAGATATATCCATATCTCAGTTTTAGCCAAATATTATACCAGGATGTTACTATATATATAATATTAGATAGATTAAATAGACAAATATGTAAAGTAGATACTGTAGATAGGTATATGCTTTAGATAGATTTATGTATATATATTAACAGGCATAGTCTGAGTAGTGTGCGTATAGATGTACATGTATGTATACATATATACCTAAACAAAAAAACCTAAACACATATATATGCACACATGTATGTAAGTATACTGTATATAGTATACTGTTCGCCCTCTTCCCACCCAGTTAAACAGTTTAATTGCCCGGTGGACAAAGGAGTTTTTAAGTCTTTTTTTTTTAGTTCTGCTCTTCGGTAGGAGGAGCCTGTCACTGGACAGGCTTCTCTGATTACTGATGACAGTGTGCAGATGAAGAGTGGCATTGTCCGTGATGGCGAGCAGTGTGTTCTCTTCTCTGCCACTGTCACCAGAGGGTCCAGGTTGATGCCCACCACAGAGCTAGACCTCCTGATCAGCTTCTCCAGTCTGTGTGAGTCCTTCTTTGAAGCGCTGCTCCCCAAGCACACCACCAAGTACAGACAAAGAAAACGCCCCCATGACCTGGGCGCAGCCCTTTGTTTGTTTGTATGTGCAGTAAACGCAGAGGAAAATGACAACTGGGTCACAGGTGGTGGTGTTAACCTTCCAACTGCAGGAAAACACGAGGTGACACATGAGACTTTAATTAGGACCCGACAACATGAACGACAAGTCACTTAGTTTATTGCCACATCAAATGACACTGGCCCGTCTTCTAAATCCTTCTATAATTAATCAGATCTTCTCAGACCTGGACGTATGACATGAGGACAATAATAATAAAAAAAAAAACCTGTCACAAATGTTCAAGTGACTTGTCTCAGAAAAACGCATTCCTGGTGTGGTACTGGTATGATGTTCAAGTGACTTGTCTCAGAAAAACACATTCCTGTTGGTCTGTAGAACCTTCTAGTGTTTATACAATGTCATTGCAACTATTGTTCTGACTCACTCGTGAGGTTCTATATCTTCTATATCTATATCCTAAGTATATGCTTAGATATATATGTATATATACGTAGATACAGTAGGTACTGTATGAGTGGTGCTTTGGCCCAGAGGCAATGTCTCTATCATTGGTTTGGTACTGTATGTATATATGTATGTATGTATGTATGTATGTATGTATGTATGTATGCATGTATGTATGTATGTATGTATGTATGCATGTATGTATGTATGTATGTATGTATGTATGTATCTATCTATCTATCTATCTATCTATCTTTCTATCTATCTATCTATCTATCTATCTATCGATATATCAGTGAGTACAGCACTACTGTCAGCATTAATCACAACCAAGGAAAATATAAAGAATTTAGATGGTGATGTTTATATTATATATATTATATATTGATAAAATTATAATGGTAAAATGATCAAAATCAAATTGATGTTCCTGGCATTCAATACATTTTGCTGTTTTTTTCTTCTTCTTCAGAACGGTGTAGTGCTGGTCCACTGTAACACCGGCGTGTCCAGAGCGCCCTCTGTGGTCATCGGATACCTGATGTCGTGCTATGGACAGCCCTTCGAAGAAGCTCTTTCATTGGTGAAATCAGCTCGACCTGCTGCCTCTCCGAACCCCGGTTTCCTGGAACAGCTAAAAAACTACAAAGTGCAGGCGATAAATGGGCCAAAGCCTTGAGAATATTAGAAACAATCAAACAAAAAAAAAACCAAAACAACAAACAAACAAACAAACCAACAGATGATTAGTAATAGTAACTAATAGTGAATTAGTAGATTGTATTTTAGTAAACTTTTGAAAGCGTTTGATGAAGAAAGTCTATATTTCCAGTGGGAACACCATAATTGGCGCCTCCTAGGGGCAGTCTGATGCATAACATTCATATACATACTTTACTACTTTTATATATATATATATATACATATATATATCCTAAGTTTTTGTTTTATTGTGATTCTGTCCTGTTTTGTTCATTTGATTTATTCAATATGTTCTACTTTTAGTTTATCATAAATATACTTAGCTATGTAGATATTTTTTCCAAAACATACAAATCAATAAATAATAAAATAATTAAAGGTGGAAACAACAACTTCACTTCATTTATCCCCCCGCCCCCAGTTTTACTTTCCCCTTTGACACAAAAATCTATGACAAAGACAACTCCCAGTTTTCTTTACTTACTGTAGGACATATTTTTGGAAAAGTGGCTACTGTGTATTTAACAAACAAAAATACTTATCTAAAAAAAAAACTCTATAAAGAAAGTGCTGAACAGAATGATTTAAAGGGTTGCGCAGATATTTTTAGCTTTTAAAAATGAATTGTAAAAGGACAAAATGAATTGTAACTGGAACATCGCAGGTAAAAAAAAATAGAATGTATTTCTCTCTTAATTGTTGTAACTTACAGTTTAACCACAAGATGTCTCTCGTTTACACTTTACACTCAGAGGCAGGCGAGCATGCGCCAGAGTCAGATTATCATAATGTTTGATAGCAGAAGAAAAATGTTTGTCCAACAGGTCGAACGAAATAAGCTTCAGACGTTCGACGTTTCCTTCGACTTCCCGCCCCAGCTCCTCCTATTCCACCTCGGACCATGGGCTCCTTTTGCTCAGCTTTGGACCGAAAGACGGCAGTGGTGACTTTGACACCACGTGAAGAGACTCTGCTTAAGACAGTCACAGGTCAGAGAGAATATTTGGTCTGTAGTATTCTTGTTTTAGTTTCGGACTCGTGTTTTCTGTACTTAATTATGTTCGTGTATTATCGTGTATTATTGTTAATTGTATCCCTTCTGGTTTAGTTTTTTTTTTTTTTCGTTTCTTTTTTTTCGAAGTTTATTTCTTGTCACTATCCGGTTGTTTAGGTTTCTTTAGTTTTATCAAGTCTGAAATTAGCTCTACATCATTTCCGGCCTGGTGTCCTTTGGTCTAATAACGAAAAAAAAAGTCACTTTTTATGTTAGTGTCTACGTTCGTGACTTTCTTTGGTTTCTTCTTGCTTAGTTTGGTTGGTTAGCTAGTTAGCTTTTATGTTAATGTGACTATTAGGTAAAACATTTTTCTCCGTATTATCATATACATATTATACAATATTATTCTATATTAATTATTAATATTAATTTTAAGTTATAATTTTAAGTTTTAAGTTTTTTTTTTAATTAATCGAAAATTAAAAAAAACGGACTTGTGTTTACGAGACGAAATTGTGACCTAGTTCATCACGAACCAATGGGACTCTCAGCTCTACCTGGTTCATCCTCATGTTTTTCTGAAAAGCTGTTGGAAAACAAAGGCTTGAATTCATTACTGTTATCCTACACGTACACACTCTACCAGTGGCGTCCACGTGGTCGACTTTAATTGTTGCTTAAGTGTTTGTACTGATTATGAAGAACCTATTAACTGTTAATCAGCCATTTTGTTTCTGTTGCCACAAGAGCTTGGTTTTAAACCACAAGTGGTTCTGGTAGGTTTTCTGTTCCTGCCTGCTGTCTGGACTCTACTGGGTTGCTTTTGAACTTCATAGGTCACATTTCAGCTTTTTATGTCTAAACCATTGATAACACTATTTCAAGTGTAAAGCATCCTAGCGGAGACCGCCACGTTTATGTGACTTAGTTTTCACACATTCTAAACGAGGGGCGTCGTACTCCTTCTGGTTCAGGGGTCGCATAAGACCTAATTAGATGTCAAGTGGGCGGGACCAGTGCAATCATAACATAATTAGCTCTAAATGACAATAACAATGTTTTCCCCCCCTTTTGTTTTCATGCACAGAAGTACAAATATATCAGATAAATCTATTTATTTAATGAAATATGATTTAAAAAAAAACATTTCTTGACCAGTGTTTGTGTATTTTTTTTTAATTTTCTAAATATACCAAGCGGGCCAGATTGAAACGCCAAATGGGCCGGTTTTGGCCCACGGGCCGTATGTTTGCCACCCCAACTCTAAACAAAGGTTTTAATATACTTCTCTTTTTGGATTTTTTGAAATCCACAAGTCAATTGCAGAGACGAGTTCAATTCATTTAACTAATTAAAACATCTTCGGGAAAACCTTGTGCAAATACATGTGCAATGTATTCCAGCTGTGTTACATTTGTACTATACTTCTTAATTACTGCAGCTTGCGCACAATCATTATCTCCTCTCTTTAATTACTGCCACCATAGGGCAGTGTTGGCTTAATGGTTAAGGAGAAGAAGACTTGGCTCCTAGTTCCAAGGCCACCAGCTGCAAGTTACCACTGAGGTGCCCTGAGCATGGCCCCTCGCCCCCCCCCCCCCCCCCACACACTTGCTCCCCGGGCAATTTTAAGTTTTAAGTTTTTTTTTTAATTAATCGAAAATTAAAAAAAACGGACTTGTGTTTACGAGACGAAATTGTGACCTAGTTCATCACGAACCAATGGGACTCTCAGCTCTACCTGGTTCATCCTCATGTTTTTCTGAAAAGCTGTTGGAAAACAAAGGCTTGAATTCATTACTGTTATCCTACACGTACACACTCTACCAGTGGCGTCCACGTGGTCGACTTTAATTGTTGCTTAAGTGTTTGTACTGATTATGAAGAACCTATTAACTGTTAATCAGCCATTTTGTTTCTGTTGCCACAAGAGCTTGGTTTTAAACCACAAGTGGTTCTGGTAGGTTTTCTGTTCCTGCCTGCTGTCTGGACTCTACTGGGTTGCTTTTGAACTTCATAGGTCACATTTCAGCTTTTTATGTCTAAACCATTGATAACACTATTTCAAGTGTAAAGCATCCTAGCGGAGACCGCCACGTTTATGTGACTTAGTTTTCACACATTCTAAACGAGGGGCGTCGTACTCCTTCTGGTTCAGGGGTCGCATAAGACCTAATTAGATGTCAAGTGGGCGGGACCAGTGCAATCATAACATAATTAGCTCTAAATGACAATAACAATGTTTTCCCCCCCTTTTGTTTTCATGCACAGAAGTACAAATATATCAGATAAATCTATTTATTTAATGAAATATGATTTAAAAAAAAACATTTCTTGACCAGTGTTTGTGTATTTTTTTTTAATTTTCTAAATATACCAAGCGGGCCAGATTGAAACGCCAAATGGGCCGGTTTTGGCCCACGGGCCGTATGTTTGCCACCCCAACTCTAAACAAAGGTTTTAATATACTTCTCTTTTTGGATTTTTTGAAATCCACAAGTCAATTGCAGAGACGAGTTCAATTCATTTAACTAATTAAAACATCTTCGGGAAAACCTTGTGCAAATACATGTGCAATGTATTCCAGCTGTGTTACATTTGTACTATACTTCTTAATTACTGCAGCTTGCGCACAATCATTATCTCCTCTCTTTAATTACTGCCACCATAGGGCAGTGTTGGCTTAATGGTTAAGGAGAAGAAGACTTGGCTCCTAGTTCCAAGGCCACCAGCTGCAAGTTACCACTGAGGTGCCCTGAGCATGGCCCCTCGCCTCCCCCCCCCCACACACTTGCTCCCCGGGCAGCTTAAATCTGCCCACTGTTCACTTTGATGATGGGTTAAAAGCAGAGGTCACATTTGGTTGTGCGTGCGGTGGTGTGCTGTGTCACGATGACAAATAATTCACTTTCATCTGCTGTTTAATTTGCTTCTGCGATCCTTTATTTTTTTCATTTACCTGTGTGCCATAAAAACAATATTCACAATACTGTCTGAATAGAATGGAAAATGTAGAATCAGCGCTTCTTTAGACCGAGGGTCCCTAATCTTTTTTGCACCAACGACCGGTCGGTCGGTATCAGCCGTTACGGTGGACCAGTAATACTGCGCCATAGTTGTTTAAAAATTTCAAATTTAAAAAATAAAACAGCTTTTAGACTTTATTCTGTTAGTATCAGAGTATATATTAATAATATTGTCAGATTATGGTTTAATGAAAAATTAAAGGGATATGACTGGATTATTGAAATGAAGTACATTAGTAAAATTGAAGTACATTTTTTTCCACCGTGTCCCACTGCGACCTGGTACCAAATGACCTACGGACCAGCACCAGTCCCCGAACCGGGGGTTGGGGTCTCCTGGTCTAGACTGTTTTATAAAAGTGTCCATTAGCTTTGTGATTCAATTTAACAGAAGAACTCTGGCAGTTTGAATCATACGTTGTTCTAATTCTCATAGAAAGTTAAGTTTCCTTCCTTTGGTTACATTCCTCGAACGTGTCTTCTTCTTCTTCTGTCTCTGTTCACTAGGTGACTCGTTACAGCCAATTCATGCAGCGATGTGGCCTCAGCAACCAGTCAGATGCAGGTGCAGAAGTGGGAGACATGGCTGTGGACCCAAAGCCAAACTATGGTAACTGATCTTCTAATGTTTTTTTTTTTTTCTTACGCTGAATGTTGTCTTTGTACCCCTTTTTCACATCTAAACATATTAACAATTAATGAGCTAGTTTAGGGCGTGACAAAAAAAAACGTAGATGCATTTAAAAAAAGAAAATTAAAAATGAAAATGAAATGTATTAATTCATGCTCTAAAAACTCTGGAGGTTTTGTAAAGGGTTATTTAAAAAAAGAAAATTAAAAATGAAAATTAAATGTATTAATTCATGCTGTAAAAACTGTGAAGGTTCATAAAGGGTTAATATATACGTAAATAACATAATAACTATCTTGCGGATTTTCCCTTTTCGTGATGGGTCTTGGAATGCAACCACTGCGATAGGACCACTATATATGACGATTTATTATTTATATTATTTAGGCCCTAAAGAAATAAACTAACACCAAGCCTCCATTACTAAGTTTTAATAACTTTTTTTTTTCACACTTAAAATAATTTCTTCTATTTTAACAAGACCATAACAGAAGCTAGATTATTTCACGGTTAATTTCTCATGTACGAGGGAAGTAATAACGCATGCAACCTGTAGGAGGCAGTAGCACTATCAACAGCAGGAGCAGCAGGAGGAGCAGCAGCTGACACGGATCCTCTGCTTCTGCCACTTGACTGGAGTCATTTGTGTGACTCTCATTTTCAGGACCAATTACATCATCATTGTCCAAAACACACACACACACACAGATGCGGGGAAAGAGCGAGTGAGGACACCTCGCTGCCTGTTTCCATCCAACCGACGCGTAAAGTTGTGTATTAGAGGGGAGAAGGAGAAGGAGGAGGAGGAGGAGGAGGAGGAGGAGGCACCAGCTTCTGTCAGCTGCAGGATTCCATCACTCTTAGCAACCGTTGTCGAGTTACTAGGGAAACACTGTGCGATGTTCTGCGCTTTTCCTTTGTCCTTCGCTCTCCTGCCTCCCTCTCTCTCTAGCTCTCTCTCGCTCCATCCCGTCTTCTCTGCTGGTCGACTTCCTGCGTATGTTGCCACGGCGATGCTCTGGGACAGTCAGCCGGATGTGTTGTGCCACTGCAGTGTTGGAGCGCCCAGCTAAGCTGAAGGACCTTGTCAGCTCTTTAGTTAGTAGTTTTTTTTTTCTTGGACTCTGGCTCGTCTTCTGCACCTTCAACTTTTCGAGCTTGTGGCCTCTAACCTCGCTCCCAGCAACTACACCAGAGGGTATAGTCCCGAAATTGGAAGGGGCCAACGGCGTCGGCGACCTCACCACGGGAAGTTGGATGAAGTTTTATCGACGGCTGTGATTGCCTTTTGGTCGATGTTGGCGGGGGAAAGCGCCGGACGAGCGTCGCTTTCGTGAGGTCAAATCCAACAACACTGACATCCTGCCACCTCCTGTCCCCGCGTTTCTCACCGACGCCACCATGAACGAGGAGGCAGAGGAGTCAACGCAGCTCGACAAGGAGCAGCCGGAGAAGGAGGATGAGGAGAAAGTGCAGAACCTACAGCAACAGGTGGACAATCAAGCTGGAGAGGGGACACAGGACACGCAGGTCGAACAGAACATTGAGGAGGAGGAGGAGGAGGAGACTGAGGCGATTCCGCCGGGGGACGATGTGCAAGCTGACGGAAAAGTAGATGAGGAGAAGGAGGAGGTGCAACTGTGTGAGCGGGAGGATTCTGAGGAGGTAGTTGAGATGCAACAAAGTTCGTGCCAGTGTCAATTTCTTCTATTTTAACAAGACCATAACAGAAGCTAGATTATTTCACGGTTAATTTCTCATGTACGAGGGAAGTAATAACGCATGCAACCTGTAGGAGGCAGTAGCACTATCAACAGCAGGAGCAGCAGGAGGAGCAGCAGCTGACACGGATCCTCTGCTTCTGCCACTTGACTGGAGTCATTTGTGTGACTCTCATTTTCAGGACCAATTACATCATCATTGTCCAAAACACACACACACACACAGATGCGGGGAAAGAGCGAGTGAGGACACCTCGCTGCCTGTTTCCATCCAACCGACGCGTAAAGTTGTGTATTAGAGGGGAGAAGGAGAAGGAGGAGGAGGAGGAGGAGGAGGAGGAGGAGGAGGAGGAGGAGGAGGAGGAGGAGGAGGAGGAGGAGGAGGAGGAGGAGGAGGAGGAGGAGGAGGAGGAGGAGGAGGAGGAGGAGGAGGAGGAGGAGGAGGAGGAGGAGGCACCAGCTTCTGTCAGCTGCAGGATTCCATCACTCTTAGCAACCGTTGTCGAGTTACTAGGGAAACACTGTGCGATGTTCTGCGCTTTTCCTTTGTCCTTCGCTCTCCTGCCTCCCTCTCTCTCTAGCTCTCTCTCGCTCCATCCCGTCTTCTCTGCTGGTCGACTTCCTGCGTATGTTGCCACGGCGATGCTCTGGGACAGTCAGCCGGATGTGTTGTGCCACTGCAGTGTTGGGGCGCCCAGCTAAGCTGAAGGACCTTGTCAGCTCTTTAGTTAGTAGTTTTTTTTTTCTTGGACTCTGGCTCGTCTTCTGCACCTTCAACTTTTCGTGCTTGTGGCCTCTAACCTCGCTCCCAGCAACTACACCAGAGGGTATAGTCCCGAAATTGGAAGGGGCCAACGGCGTCGGCGACCTCACCACGGGAAGTTGGATGAAGTTTTATCGACGGCTGTGATTGCCTTTTGGTCGATGTTGGCGGGGGGAAGCGCCGGACGAGCGGCGCTTTCGTGAGGTCAAATCCAACAACACTGACATCCTGCCACCTCCTGTCCCCGCGTTTCTCACCGACGCCACCATGAACGAGGAGGCAGAGGAGTCAACGCAGCTCGACAAGGAGCAGCCGGAGAAGGAGGATGAGGAGAAAGTGCAGAACCTGCAGCAACAGGTGGACAATCAAGCTGGAGAGGGGACACAGGACACGCAGGTCGAACAGAACATTGAGGAGGAGGAGGAGGAGGAGACTGAGGCGATTCCGCCGGGGGACGATGTGCAAGCTGACGGAAAAGTAGATGAGGAGAAGGAGGAGGTGCAACTGTGTGAGCGGGAGGATTCTGAGGAGGTAGTTGAGATGCAACAAAGTTCGTGCCAGTGTCAACGACTTGACAGCGAGGATGAAGAGAAGAAGGTGCAAGAAGGTGTGCACAAAAAGACGACAGAAGGGCAGAGTGAGGAGCAGCAGCAACAGTTACGGGGAGCGGAGGGTAGACGGCACGGGCAAGCTGAGGATGAAGAGGAGCAGCAGCAGCTGCAAGGGAAGGGTAGGGAGGAGAGACAGGAGCAACAGCGGCAACAAATTGAGGAGCAGCAACAGCTGCAACCACCTCATAGCGAAAGGGAACGCCAGCAGAGTGAGGAGCACCGGGAACAGCAGCTAAGTCCGGACGAGAAGCACCAGCAAACGGTGCAGGGGCAGCATCAGCAGGAGCATCAGGAGCATCAGCAGCAGCCTCAGGAAGAGGAGCAGCAGCAGGTGGCGCAGGAGTTGGTGTCTCCTTTAGAACAGAACCATAATCACCACGTCCTGATTCGACTTAGAGAAATGTGAGTAAACACAGAATCAGCTGTTTGATGACATCATAACCGTGATATTGATGGCGATCAATGACCAGATCACCCAAAATGTGTCTGGGGAAAAAAAAAAAAAAAAAAAAAAATCAAAGGGTTTAATTTGATGGCAAAGGTGACATCGAAAACATCACTGTCCTCATCATCATCATCATCATCGTCAACATCATCGATGTCCTCCGTTACCGACAAAGGTCAACAAAAGTCAGTGGGCATGCACTAAACATGACAGTGAACGAATCATGTGTTTGTGTGTTTAAAAAAAAAAACAACAACACAGGTTTTCACATAGTTGCCATGGTGATGGCAGAGCCTTGCAATGCAGTAGGGGGGGAACTGAGGAGGAGAAGGTGAAGGAGAGCTACAGATGAAGAAATGTGATGAACACATATGTTTATGTTGCCGACACCAGTTTACTTGGCATACGAACGTCTGTTGAAACGCGTTCAACTTCTGTGGTTAAACATCACGTTTGACGTCGGGGGGGGAAAATGTAGCCTTAACTTTTAGTCCACTTTTAGATTTGTCTCTATTGACAAAGCTAATGTTCCAAACAACCAAACAAACTGTACATCATAAAAGGGAATCTTTTTTGGTACAGTGGCCTCTAAGCATTTTTGTCTGCTGTAAAACTAAAAAAAAATCATACCAGAAATATGTAAGCATACGTAATTATAACTTTTAGTTGAGGAGACAAGGTGTCCAACCTGAAGTTCAAGCCTCCTCTGGATGGCGATGGGTGTTTAAGCTCCCTCAGTGTGTGCAAATAAAAAACACGTGGATTTGAGCAATGATAAAATAGTAGCGTCGTTGGAAATATTTTGTGTGTTGACCAGCGTATTTACATTTAAATTTGCATCTAAAAATCGTAATCTGATTAATTTTCACGTGACTAATTTAGACAGCAGAAAATAAAATATATGTATATATATAAAATATATATATACATATATACATATATATGTATAAATATATATACATATATATATATTTTACGAGAGCATTAAAACACTGAATCATTAACATTTCAAGGGAGATTCAGGTGTGAAAATCAAAAGTCAGGTGGAAAGGAGCGAAGTCTTTTACTATTGGCCGACCGATGTTATCGGCCGATATTTGTAGTATTATGTTATACCAGTTTTTCGTCCGATAATGAAAACCACAGAACCAAGGTGATGTGACCTAAAAATAGTTTTGGAGTGAAAGTGAATTATTGTCATCTCCGATATTGACAATAATTCACTTTTGACAATATCCGACATGCCGATATTGTCAAAACATTTTATTACGATTGTATTATCAACCGATACCGATAGGTACACACAAAATAAAACTTAAAGCTATTCCAGCATATCTGGCGAAACCCAGGTGTTGCGTTATCGGGTTTTCTAAATTGGAGGAAAATTGATAACAATTCTTAGCAATATTACATAATTATGCTAACATCGGTAATATCGGCCAACCGATATTATCGGCCTCCCTAGCTAGCACACAGTGAAATGTGCTGTCTGCCTTCAACCCAGACATCTGCATATATATCGGTGACGGTTGTGTGTTTTTATTAAGTGTTTGGACAATATCGGCAAAAAGTTGACATCGGACATCCCTGGTAAAAACTCTGGAGCCTAAACTTGAGTCACAGAAGACAAAGTTTACTTTATTGGCCTCTTTATTTAATACTTAGAGCAGCTTCATTTCTTTCTTGCTTGTTTTCTTGTCTCAAAATCGGGGATGTCAAACTAAGTTTCACAGTGGGCCAAAATTAAAGACTGGGATTAGGTCGCGGGCCAAACTCAATATTTACTGAAAAATGGACTGCAATTGCGCATATTTACGCTTCTCCTAAGATATGTAATGTGTATTACATCTATATGGAAACAAACTTTTAAGTTTTGCGTTAAATCTGAATTCTCTAGCCTTTTGAGTTTTTTTTTTTAATGCAAATCCTTTTCACAGGCCAACAAAAGAACATCCAAAAATGTTTGTGCTATAACATGGGAAAAACTTTTTCACTCAATTGTCCTAAAATTGAACGGGGGGCCGGGTCAGGAGCAGTTTGGTAGATGGAGTGTTCGAGTGTAAAATTCATGCATAAAGGCTAAAATGCTAACATGCTTTTATCATTTTCAACGCCATCTTTTGGGGGGAAAAAGCAGAATGATGATAATATAAATCAATTATATAATTTGGAAAAGTTTGGCGGCCCGATTCAAATGCTGAACGGGCCGCATGCAGCCCCCGGGCCTTAGTTTGCAGCATTACATAGCATACATCGCTAGCATACATCGCTTTTACTACAAATCCTGCCAGTATATATTGGCTATATATATGTGATCTCACGGGCCAAATATAATTACACCACGGGCCAGATTGGGCCCGTGACCCTGAGTTTGACATCATGTGCTCTAAATGGTTACTCTCATTTTCCCGAGAAAAATGACCCTAATGACGGTCACTGTTCCTGTCGGTCCGTACTATTACTGTCACAGTTAACAGCGCCTTCGTATGTTAATTCATCTCATCTCCATGTGTTTATACGCTTAAGTGTCCTAATCCTCTAACTCCGGAGCTAATTGTGATGTCACTCATTGTTTTTCCCTGTCAGGTGACATCATCAAAGCTGCGGTTACATATCTTTGAGATAATCACGATTAAAAAAAAAAAAAAAAAAAAAAAAAATGAACTCCTTGGAATCTCAGTTGAACAGACCGATCCACTGATGTTCAGCATCTTGCTGTAGTTGGTTCGTTGGTATCGAGGTGTCAGTGCCAGACAAGAGTCTCATTTTTTTTTCGCCAAATCGTTTGGAGATTAAAAAAAAACAAAACAAAAAAAAAACAAAAACCGTCAAGTGTACTCGTGTGTTTTCGGAAAAAATAGTTGATAAGGACGTCTTCGCGTCCGTGTTTGGCGTGAGCCAGAGATCAGGTGACTCAGTTTACACATGTTCCAATTAATTTCAACACAACAGGTTCTGATTTACTCTGAACCAAACATGACAAGCAGAAATGTGATCCGAAATTCCCCTGTGGAACACTTCACAAACATTTTAGGGCACCTCCAAAACCATTCTAGGTGAACATCGAGAAAGAGACTCAATATTTTGGTTTTATCTTTGCTTATTTTCTCCCTTTTATGTAATATCACAACAAAATTTAAACTTGAATTAAAGCTCTCTTCTCCAGGAAACCTCCAAAAAAAATTTTTGTTGATGTATTTTTGGCATTACTGTGCCTTTAACTGAAAACATCTTGAGTTGTTTCTATCCCAGAGAGACACATTTGATCCATATCATCACATTAACAAACAGTAAATGTCTGAAGTGTTTGTGGAAAAACAAAGTGTTTTTTTTTTTTTTTTTTGTTATCCTCTCTAGTTTCCATGGTAACAGGAGTTTTTCAACGCATCGAATTCTGTTGGGTGATAAAGAAGCAGTTTCTGCTCTTTTTATTACACTGTGGCCAATGTGCGCTAGCTGTTTAGTCAAGTGTGAAATGAGACATCAAACCCCAAAAAAAAAAAACTTAAGGGAAAAACAACAGGTTCTTGAAATGTATTTTTTTTTTCCTTTATGTCCTTTAAAGAGAACTCTTTTTGCGGCCTTTTCTTTAGCTCAACTTTCGACCAAAATCAACTGCAACCGCTCGACTTTAGTCCCTCAAAAGTTGGCCCTCTTTGTCTTAAGATTGGTTTGTCTTTTCTAACCTTTTGTTGAACAACTAGTTAGGCTTCAGGTGATGCGTTAAAGCGTTTAAAATATGGCTGAATTGAAACTTAACTGAATATAAATTCGATTTCAACTTGAACTTTTACTTAAGCCAAAAACCTATTTTTCTTCCTCTCTCACAAAGACCAAAAAAAAAAAACGCCGCGTTCTTAGAACAACAGCTTCACAGACCAACGTGTGTGTTTATTAGCCTGTACATTGCAGATGGTTTATCATCACACCATTTCCCCTCTAACGGCCGCTTTGCTCTACCTTCAGGCCGATCGTAGGCGTTTCAGGCAGAGCTAACTTCTAAAAAAGCTTCTGATGCCCCCTGTGGAGCTGCAGCAATAACACAACGAGCTCATTTTATGCTTCGCACACATTCACTTACTGCGGAGAAAAAGACAAAGACAATCGGATTGGTCTACACCAATCGCCTCTGACATTTCCCCTATCACAGATGCTGCAGTGGCAGAATGTCTACAGCAGTCTCTCATAGTTTTTTTTTTTGTGTTGTTGTTCTCTTTGTAATTCTGTGCTGCTGCTGCCACTGCTGCTGCTGATCCTCCCACATTGGCCAATCAGCATGAAATGACAGGCTAACGCTTTCACAGCAGTGATTAGCTGCCATGAGGTTAAATCCCTGAGCTTTGATTGGTTCTCTTCAACAGATGAATTGTTCGTAGGCACTGCACCTTAAAAATGTGAGGCACATAGTTTTTGTTCTACTGATTTTTTATTTTTTTTTTAAAGCTAACTCTTTTATTCTTTTGACACATGAAACGCAGACCTTTTTTTTTCCGACTATTCAGTTTTATTCCATTTTGTAACTATTTCTAAGGCGGTGAGGTGCCAGAGGGGGGAGTGGGGGGGGGCTGTCGGGGGGCTTCCAATGGAATATAGCATGCGGGACATAAGTGGACCACTGCTGTAATGCTTGAATCGTAACAAGCCTCCAGTCACTAGGTGGCAGCAACTCATACAGTGCTTTGTAAAAAAAAATATATATATATATGTATATATGTGTGTTTTTCCATATGAAACCAGTAAATAACTTTTTGATTTTCTCTTTAGAAGATCATTGAATGGAGACAGAGGGATACTTAAAAAAGTGTGTCATATTTGTATGATGTTGATTCTTCCAATCAAGGATAAATGCAGGACATCCATCTTTTATTATCTTCTGCTTTTTTTCCTTTGTCAATGGTCCATAATTACAATTTAGTGTTTAAGCTAATTTGGACATTAAGTCTATTCCTAAATATGTAAATTGAACTACACCTTTAAATTTGGAGGCTTTCCCGAGTGGTCAATTAAAGGACAGGGCGTCTTTAATTGTGTATCCTGAGATAGCACCAAATACTTTTAGCAACTGTAGTAACTAAACAGGAATAGCTCTACTAAAAGGCGAGATGAACCGAATAGCGTCATCTGCATATAATAATATAAATTCACATTTTGCATGTTCAGTTGTTATTCCAGCTACTTCTACTAGGCTTTCATGCAGCTATCGTCAATGGCTCCACTGACTAACAGTGAAGACGAGGGGCAACCGTGACGACATCCTCTTTTAACTGTGATTGGCTACATTTTATTTGTTAATATTTCTGCTGGGTTTAAATACAGCAACTGATATCATGGACTGTTGCTGGGTTTAAATACAGCAACTGATATTATGGACTGTCTTTGTTATAGCTAGTTTAGCAAGTCATTTGCTTTGTTACAGTATATTCACTATATAAAACAAACTTCCCATATTTTACACTCTGTGGATATTTATAGTACATCCTGGTATTGTGATTGGTGGAGCTCCACCATAAGAGAGAGTGATTCACAGACTGTATGAGAAAATTGCTGTGCTGGTGATTGGTCAGTTTTGGTGATCTAATTCTGTTCTGCTTGTTTTTGTTTACAGGCAGAGATATAAAAGTACGTCCCAGAGGTAGGTCAAGTCAAGTGTAACCCACACTAAATGAATGAATGACAGAACATATAACATGCATAACATATGCCATACGGTATCTTAACTGTATATACATGTCACAACAAATTGTTTCACTTGCTCTGCCGTTCCAAATTCCATAAACTGAATCAGCGATTATAACTCACAGCAGCTGAATGTAACGCTTTCCCCCCAAAGTTCAAATGTGTAATTTTGCAACTTGGTGACATAAACGGACCTAAAAAGGAACGAGTAGCCCCCCCCCCGGTATATTTCAGATGTTTACATCCATCAGCAAAGAAAATGTTCAGACATGAGGAGCCCTCTGCTGCTGCTGCTGCTGCTGCTGCATCCTGGCGTCATCGCAGTAACCAAAACTGTCCTTTAAAATGGACAACAAAATCCCTTTCAGTTGCCATGGTAACGACTGGAGTTAGAATGGGAGGTAAGGAGGAGTCACTAATTTGCAGGCTGTAGGGATTTGAACACTTAATGCAGAAGACGGCTGTAGGGATTTGAACACTTAATGCATAAGACAGGTACATTTTTTTTTTTTTTTTTTTTTTTTTTTTTTTTTTTTTTTTTGTGACACTATATGAAGCACTGAAAACACTCAGAGCACCCCCTGCTGCTGAGATACATACGCATTATAAGTAGAAACATACAAGCAGGGACAGAGAGAAGCATGATTATCTCCGCTTCCTTACGTAGGCTGAAGTTGAGTTTTGTTTTTTTTTTTATGTCCAATTTTTATTTCTAATTTCCCTTGATTGATTTGAAAAACTTTATTTTCAACAACTAGGGGATGGCAAAAGGAGAACAATTAAATACTCTTCCACAAGGTGGCAGCAGACGGCCAAAAAAAGAGACCCAGAGCGATTGAAGATCTTAGTGTGTCTTTCTTCAATTCCTGTGAGAATATCAGCAAAGTGTTCAACTAAACAGGCTCAGGTTCTAACACTCAATTAGTCGATTGTTGAGAATTTATAGATAGATGGATAAACAGACAGACAGACAGACATATATATCATGTGTATTGTTATGATTTATTTATATGTATATACTATAGTATACCACATATAGCTACAACATTATAATTTGACAGCTATTATTACATTACACAATTCATGCATATGTATATAACAATAAAAATGTATATGTAAATATAACAAAATATATAAACAGTTGTATATATTATATATTTAATAAAATATATAGCAGATATAATTCATATATTTTGACATTTATTCAATGATTACGTTCTCTACTACATATATCTCATCATAAGCATTCTTGTATAATATACTACGACTAAAATCTAAGTTTTATATGTTACATATTGTATGTATTTCTTATATGGTTTCATTTATTTTTGTATATACAACGTGAACGTCTTTATGAATAAATATCCTACGGTTTTTTTTTTTCTTCTTCTCTCTTAACAACAGAACGTGTCACTGAATCAACACAAGAGACGTGAACACTTTCCACATCTACTTCTTTACTGCAAACACGATAAATATCACAGTTCGTTATTACCACCATCGCCGCGCTCCCAAAAATACATCTGCTCTAAATAGTCACATAGCAATTACATCATCTCAGATAACGGCGCCGTCCGCAAGGTTAAGCGTGGATTGATTGATTGATTGATGACATTCATCGTTAAATGTTTCTCTCTCTCTCTCTCTCTCTGTGTGTGCTCAGGATTAAGGGGGTCCTGGACCAGATGGACCGGGGTATTGTGGACCTGCAGGAACTGCGCAGGAACCTGGAGATAGCTGCCACCATGTTGGACGCCATCTACACTGATGAGACCAAGTAGGAATGAAGAGAGCCTAAAAGAGAGAATGTGTCTTTAAGAAGATACTGCCAGAATTTTCTGTTGGGTCATTTATTGGAATACGTTTTTTGCAAAGAGAGTGGAAATGGCTGTGGTAAACACCTATTTCCAAAAGAAAGAGGAACATAGGGCGACTTACAAGAGTGGAGGCAGGTCCACACAGATAGATTATATTCTATGTAGGAGAAGTAATCTGAGGGAGATTAGAGACAAACAACATTGGATGGCAAGATGACGATAGAGGTGAAAGGAAGGAAGTAAGGGCAGTTCTGGGCTAAAGACTCCAGCAATAGGCAGAAGACGGGAGGCGGAGCTGGAGGTGGCAGGGTTAAAGATGCTAAGATTCTCTTTAGGAGTGACAAGAATGGACAGGATCAGGAATGAGGTCATTAGAGGGACAACACAGACAGGAAGGTTTGGAGAAAAAAAGGCTAGAGAAGCCAGATTGAGATGGTTTGGACATGTGCAGAGGAGGGACAGTGGATACAT